CTGACCCAACGTCATCTCAAAACAGATGCACGTTGGGCCAGAATTTTCGGACCATAAATGCTGATAATCCAGACCAAAACTGGTTTGGAATATGGGCTAGGGACTGCAATTCTCTACAGATAATTCGGACCAAAGTTGGTCCGTATATGCCCAGTATAAAATGCCTCCTGTGTGGAAGGCATGGTGGGAAATTATTTGACCATTTTTTAGACCATTGGTGGTCCAGAAATGTGAAAAAAATTCGCCAGCTCAAATTTGCCTTTTTTTTTTTTTTGTGTGAAAATATTCGGACTATAGTCGGTCTGAATTTTTTTCGTGCGTTTTACTGTATTCCCACCAATGATATTTAGACTATTTGTGGTATGAATATCATAAATTCAGTTAGGGTCCCATACCAATAAATATTCAAACCAATTGTGGTCTGAATAAATTTTTTTTCAAACCATATTTTATCGGTCTGAACATCTAAAATTTCTAATAGTGTACCAAGACTAGATTACTACTAAAATTAAAGCTCTTGATCTTGAATATGATGTTAATGATATCCTTGACAACAAAGTACTATTCTTGACAAAGGAAAGATCCATATTGTAAGAAGCAGAAAACTGAGGACTAATGATAGGAAAATTACTGTGATGAGGATTAGCAGATGGAGGAAAAGAAATGCTTGGTTTCACCATTGGGAGAGAATTGATAGATTAATCGCCTTTGCTGTTTTGAGGGACAAATAAAATTCTTTAATTATTATATATATACATAGCGAGTAGGTTTTTTTTTTCTTTTTCTACGAAAACAACTTATAATTTTTTTTCTATCAACCAAACAACATATAATGTTTTTGAGGTAAGGTACAACTTATAATTCATATCATATTTGGATGCAGTACAAATGACTTATTAAATAAATTTGACTAATTCAAACCAAACCATTATATAATCATAACATGACTATAACTTGAGAGCTAATTAAGTAATAAGATATATAAATTAGTCCACCAAACAAGAATTTCATTGGTTACATATTGGAATTAAAAATTCTTTATAAAGAAGCTAACATGGGAATTTTCATGCGTCGTACCAATTGCTGTATGAAATATAGTTGAGTTGAAATTAGTTTTCTCATTATGCAATGATGATTGGATAAAAGAAATTTTTATATGATACTTAAATATATATGTATATTTATATATTTGCAAGTGGATGATTTTGCACAACAAGTGTATCTACATGATGAAAAGAGGAAGGAAATTAAAGTCAACACACCTAGCATAGATAGTGGCTGGACTCTTTGTCTTTCAATTTTTGACTTTGCTTTTAATGATGTAAACATATGATGTATTACCAAGATCTTCCTTCAACATATTAATATGAATGCTAAATTAAAAAAAAAAATTAAAATGTTAATTTTGATTACAAAAAAAGCTCTTGAAATTGTAATATGTAGCAAATGCATATAAAGAGCAAATGTGTTGAGGTGGAAAATGAAGAACAAACATGGTCAAGACAACCTAATCCCTTAGTAGGGATTGCCTTCTCAATTCTATAGTTCAAGCCAGAGAGCCCCTATTATTCCATCCCTCCATTAATATAAATTATAATTGTCATGGGCATGCTAATATCACTTAAGTAGTCTAATAATAATTTCCTTTCTAAGTGAAGTAAAAGATCTCAAATTCTAGTTA